ACAGTTGGAATCATACAATGTGTATGTAGCCTTTTCAGGGTGATGTCTTTCACTTGGTATGCATTTAAGGCTCCTCCATGTCTTTTCATGGCTTGAGAGCTCATTTCTTCTTACTGCTGAATAATATTCCATGGTCAGAAGTTACCACAGTTTATTTAGATATGCATCTACAAAAGAATGTCTTAGTTGCTTCCAAGTTTGAGCAATTATGAATAAAGCTGCTATAAACATGTGTGTGCAAGTTTCTGTATGGACCTAAGTTTTCATATCATTTGAGTAAATACCAAGAATTATGATTGCTGGATCATAAGGCAAAAGTATGTTTAGTTTTTGAAAGAAACTGCCAAACTGTCTTCCAAAGTGCTCTTCCATTTTGCAGAAATCAGAGTTCCTGCTGCTCCACATCCTTGTCAGCATTTGGTGTTTTCAGTGTTTTGGATTTTGTCCATTCTAATCAATGTGTTATGGTATCTCATTTTTTAAATTTTCAATTCCCTAATGCTAATGGTGTTAAGCATCTTTTCACATGCTTATTTGCCATCTCTTGGTCTTCTTCTTTGGTGAGGTGTCTGTTCAGATTTTTGTCACGTAAAAATTAGTTTTTTTGTTGTTGTTGTTGAGGGGTTTTGCTTGTTTGGGGTGTGTGTGTGTGTAAGAGATGGTGTGTGTGTGTAAGAGATGGGGTGTGTGTGTGTGTGTGTGTGTGTGTGTGTGTGTAGGAGACAGGGTCTCAGCTGGGCACGGTGGCTCATGCCTGTAATCCCAGCACTTTGGGAGCCTGAGGTGAGCAGATCACCTGAGGTCAGGAGTTCAAGACCAGCCTAACCAACATCGTGAAACCCCCGTCTCTACTAAAAGTACAAACATTAGCTGGGGGTGGTGGCAGGCACTTGTAATACTAGCTACTCTGGAGGCTGAAGTAGGAGAATCGCTTGATCCCGGGAAGGGGAGGTTGCAGTGAGCCAAGATTGTGCCAGTGAACTCCAGCCTGGGTGACAGAGCGAGACTCTTAAAAAAGAAAAAGAGTTTGTTGTGTATTTTGGATAACAATCCTTTCCAGGGATGTCTTTAACAAATATTTTCTCCCATCCTGTGGCTTGTCTTCTCATTCTCTTGACAATGTCTTTTGCAGAGCATGAGTTTTTAACTTCTTAAGTGCAGCTTATTAATTCTTTCATGGATCTTGCCTTTGGGAATGTAGCTAATCAGCATGGAACCAAGATTACCTAGGTTTTCTCCTACCTTATCTCCTAGGAGTTTTATAGGTTTCCATTTGACATTTAGGTTTATGATACATTTTGAGTTAACATTGTAAAAGATATAAAGTCTGTGTCTAGATTCTTATTTTCTCTTTTGCACATGGCTGTCCAGTTGTTCCAGAGTTTTATTTTGTTTTTTTCTTTTGTAGAGACAAGGTTTCACCATTTTTCACAAGCCTTCACAGTTTTCAGGGCTGTTTTTGAACTCCTGGGTTCAAGGGATCTTCATTCCTTAGCCTCCCAGAGTACCTGGATTACAGGGATAAGCCACCATGCCCAGACCCAGCATCATTTTTTGAAAACATCTTTTGTCCATTGTATTGCCTTTCTTTGTCAACGACCTGTTGACCATATTCATGTGGGCCTATTTCCGGACTCTCTTTTCTGTTCCATTGATCTGTTTGTCTAGTCTTTCACCAATAACACTGTCTTGATTACTGTAGCTTTATGGTAAATATTAAAGTTGAGTAGTCTCAGTCCTCTTTTATTCTTGTCCCTCAATATTGTGTTGGCTATTGTGGGTCTTTTGCTTCTCCACATAAATATTAGAATCAGCTTGATAATATTCACAAAATAGTTTGCTAGGATTTTATCGGAATTCTGTTGAATCTATATATCCAGTCGGGAAGAACTGAGATTTTGACAACATCAAGTCTTCTTACCTATGAACATGGATTCTCTCCATTCATTTAGTTCTTTTATTTCTTTCACCACAGTTTTGTTTTCCTCATATAGGTCTTGCAAATATTTTGTTAGATTTATAAATAAGTACCTGTAATCCCAGCACTTTGGGAGGCCGAGGCGGGTGGATCACGAGGTCAAGATATCGAGACCATCCTGGCCAACAAGGTGAAACCCCGCCTCTACTAAAAATACAAAAAAATTAGCTGGGCGTGGTGGCGCGTGCCTGTAATCCCAGCTACTCGGGAGGCTGAGGCAGGAGAATTGCCTGAACCCAGGAGGCGGAGGTTGCGGTGAGCCGAGATCGCGCCATTGCACTCCAGCCTGGGTAAAAAGAGAGAAACCCCGTCTCAAAAAAAAAAAAAAAAAAAAAAAAAGATTTATAAATAAGTAATTTGGGGGAGGGTGCTAATATAAATTATACTGTACTTTTTATTTCACATTCCACTTTTTCATTGTTAGTATATAGGAAAGTGACTCACTTTCTTATATTCATCTTGTATCCTGCAACCTTGCCATAATCACTTAGTTCTAGCAGTTTGTCAATTATCATGGGTTTTATACACAAAGTCATGTCACCTGTGAACAGACAGTTTATTTCTTCCTTCCCAAACTCCTTACACTTTATTTCCTTCTACTGCATTAGCCAGGACTTCCAGTGCACCAAGAAGAGGCTTCTAGTTTCTGACCAGTAAGCATATTAGCTGTAGGTTTTTTTTTGTAGATGTTCTTCAACAAATTAAGTTCCCCTGTATTCCCAGTTGGATGCATTTTTATCACAAATGGGTGTTGGATGTTGTCAAATGCTTTTTCTCCATCTAGTTATAGGATTGTGTGATTTTTTTTCATTTATTAATGTGATGGATTACACTAATTGATTTCTAATGTTAAACCAGCCTTGCATATCTGCAATAAGACCCATTTGATTGTGGTATATAAGTCTTTTTACATATTGTTGGATTTTCATCTGCTAATATTTTGTTAAGGGTTTTTTCATCTGTATTGATGACATATTATGATCTTTAGTTTCCTTACAATGTCTTTGTCTGGTTTTGCTATTAGGGTACTGCTGGTCTCATAAAATGAATTAGGAAGTATTCCTTGTGTCTTCTGGAAGAGACTGTAGAGAACTGGCACAATTTCTTCCTTAAATGTTTGATAGAATTCACCAGTGAACCCATCTGCGTCTGGTGCTTTCTGGTTTGAAAAGTTATTATTGATTCAACTTCTTACTAGACATAGGCCTATTCAGACTGTCTACTTCTTGTATTTTATTAGACTGTGTATTTCAAGAATTGTTCTGTTTCACCTAGGTTATCAAATTTGTGGGCATGGAGTTGTTCATAGTAGTCATTATTCTTTTAATGTTCATGGGATTTGTAATGGTGTCCCCTCTTTTGTTTCTGGTACTTACAGTTTGTGTCATCTTGTTTTCTTAGCTTGGCTAGAAGCTTATTAATCTTTTCTAAGAATCAGCTTTTGGTTTTGCTGATTTTTTCTATTTCTTGTTTTTAACTGATTTCTGGTTTACTTTTTATTATTTTTCTTCTGCTGCTTACTTTGCATTTTATTTCCTCTCCTTTTTCTAGTTTCCTAAGGGGAAGCTTGGATTAACTTTAGGTCTTGTTTTTTCATGTAGTCATCCCTTGGTATGTGTGGGGAACTGGTTTCAGGACTCTCCAAACATAAAATTCTGAAGATGCTCAAGTCACTTACATGAAATGGTGTAGTTTGCAGCTAACCAGTGCACAACCTCCCATTAATTTAAATCACCTCTAGATTACTTATCATACAATGTAAATGCTGCATAGCTACACTGTAGTTTTTCATGTGTATTATTTTTTTTTTCAAATATCTTCAATCTATGGCTGGTTTAATCCATGGAGGTGAAACGTGGTGATACAGAGAGCCAACTGTATATGCATTCAATGCTTTCAGTTTCCCTCTAGTCACTGCTTTTGTTGCATCCCACACATTTTGAAAACTTGTAGTTTCAATTTGTCTTGAGATTTCTTCTTTGACCCATGTGTTAATTGGAAGCATGTTGTTCAATCTCCAAGTATTTTGGGATTTTCCAGCTACCTCTCTGTTACTGATTTCCAGTTTAATTCCACTGTGGCCTGAGAACATACATTGTATGATTTCTGTTATTTTAAATTTGTTAAGGTATGATACATGGCCCAGGATGCGGTCTATCTTGGTGAATGTTCTATGTGAACTTGAGAAAAATGTGTCCTCTGCTATCACTGGATAAAGTAATCATAGGTGTCGATTATGTCCAGTGAACTGATGGTGGTACTGAGTTCAATGATGTCCCTACTGATTTTGGCCTGCTGGATGTGTCCATTTCTGACAGAGAGGTTGAAAACTCCAACTATAATGGATTGTTCATTTATTTTTTCCTTGCAGTTCCATCAGGCTTTACTTCACATATTTTCATGCTCTGTTAGGTACATACATATTGAGGGTTGTTAAGGCCTTCTTAGAGAATGTAGGCCCTCTATCATATGTACTGCTCCATTATGTAATTATCCCTGATAATTTACATTGCTTCTGAAGTCTACCTGGCCTGAAATTAACAAAGCTACTCCAGCCTTCTTTTGATTAAGGTTAACATGGCATATCTTTCCCTATCCCTTCACTTTTAATCTATGATCTTTACACTTCAAGTGATTTTCTTATAGACAACATATAGTTGGGTCTCATTTTTTGATCCATTCTTTTTTTTTTTTTTTTTGACGGAGTTTCACTCTTGTTGCCCTGGATGGAGTGCAATGGCGTGATCTCAGCTCACCAAACCTCCACCTCCTAGATTCAAGCGATTCTTCCGCCTCAGCCTCCTGACTAGCTGGGGTTATAGGTATGCGCAAACATATCCGGCTAATTTTGTATTTTTGTATAAGATGGGATTTCTCCATGTTGGTCAGGCTGGTGTCGAACTCCTGACCTCATGTGATCCACCCACCTCGGCCTCCCAAAGTGCTGGGATTATAGTGTGAGCCACCACACCCGGCCCACTCTATCTTTTACCTGGTGTATTTAGACCATTGACTTTTTTTTCCATGTGTCCAAGGCATGAACCAGGTATGGGTACAGATCAAAAGCTAAGCTGGGTTGAACAAGGGGTTGCCTTGTCCCTGGCTAATAAGATGGGCACCACTAACCAGGTGCCACTCTACCCAGGCCAAAGACACAGACCATTAACATTTAAAGTGATTATTTATAAAACTGGATTAATATCTGCTATATTTGTTACCATTTTCTATTCACTGCCCTCACTCTTTGTCTCATTTTTTTCTTCTCTTTTTCATGCCTTTTGTGGTTTTAACTGAGCATTTTCTGATTCCATTCTCTCTCTTAGCATATCAACTTGCCTTAGAGTTTGCTATATATAATTAGCCCAAGTCTACTTTCAAATAACACTATACACTTTACCACTTCACAGGTAGTGCAAGAACCACCCCTCCCTTTTTTTTTTTTTTTTTTTTTTTAAGACAGAGTCTCACTCTGCTGCCCAGGCCGAAGTGCAGTGGCGCAATCTCAGCTCACTGAAACCTCTGCCTCCTGGGTAAAAGCAATTCTCCCTATCTCAGCCTTCCAAGTAGCTAGAATTACAGGTGCCCACCACCATGCCTGGCTAATTTTTTGTTTTGTTTTGTTTTGCATTTTTTAGTAGAGACGGGGTTTCGCCATGTTGGCCAGGCTGATTCTGAACTCCTGACCTCAGGTGATCTGCCTGCCTCGGCCTCCCAAAGTACTGGAACTATATGCATGAGCCACCACGTCCGGCCACAAGTGCCTTTTAATCACAAAATATTCCTAATTCTTCCCTGCTGCCCCTGATATGATGGCTGTCATTAATTTCACTTACATGTAAACTATGATCATTGGATACATTGTTGCTATTACTTTGAATAAAGTGACATTTCTTAGGTCAGTTTAAAATAAGAAAACAGAAAGTTTTAATTTTACCTCCACTTACTCGTTTTCTAATGCTCGTTCTTTACGTAGATTTGAGTTTCTGATCTACATCATTTTCCTTCTTTCTGAAGAACTTCTTACATTTCTTACCCAGATCTACCAGCAAAAAATTCCTTCCCTTTTTGTTTGAGAAAGGCTTTATTCCCTCTTATCTCTTGCAGGATAATTTTGCAGGATGCCAAAGTCTAGGTTAGTGGCTTTTTATTCCCAATACATTAAATATTTTACTCTACTCTCTTGCATATTTCTGAGAAGTCAGATTCAATATTTATGTTTGCTGCTTTATAGTAAGGTTCCTCACCCCACCCCACCCCCACCCCTGGCGGCTCAAGACTTTTTATTTGTGTTTGCTTCTCTGCAGTTTTAATGAGATATTCCTAGGTGTAGTTTTTGGTTTCATTTTGGAGTTGAGGGGCTGAGGGGATTAATCCTGCTTGGTATACTCTGAGCTTCCTGAATCTATGGCTTGGTATACTCTGAGCTTCCTGAATCTATGGCTTGGTATCTGACATTAATTTGGGGGAAAATTCTCAGTCATTATTGCTTCAAATATTTCTTCTTTTCTTTTCTCTGTTTCTCCTCCATCTGGAACTCCCATTATGTGTCAAGTTACACCTTTTGTAGTTAACTGTCCCATAGTTCTTAGGTATTCTGTGGGACAATGGTAGCGGGAGAGTGTTTATTTCTCCACACTATCCCTGGATACTTTTAAATCTTTGTCAGTCTGACAATGAACAAGGGCTATCTTACTACAGTTTGAATTTTTTAAATTACTAGCAAGGCTGAATATTTTTCCTGTTTATTAGCCATTTGATTTCTTCTTTAGAAACTTTGCAATTTTTAACTAGATAAAATACAGTAGATTTATTTTTAAGAATGGAAACTAGAAAATAATAAACTCAATCTATGGAAATCCTTAATCCTAGGTAATACTGTCGAAGTTATATGGCCCACAAGGAACTTTCTATTTTACTTCACATTCACCTGGTGAACACATCATCTGCTTAGAATCTAATTCTACAAAGCTTGTGTCATTTGGAGGGAGTAGGCTGGTGAGTATATGCTTCCCATGTCCCTGTTGATAAACACAGCGTCAGCACTATTCAAGCAAGCATGACATTGGTATGCAGAACCATTACACTCAAACTGGCTAGAAACTTATGAAAGTCCTATGTCCAGATCTCAGCACAGCGGCCAAAGAGGGAGCTGGAGAGCTTCGAAAGGGTTCAAAGGAGAGCCATGAAGTTGATTAAAGGGTTTGAAAAATGAGAGCTGTGAGACAAGGTTAAAAGAACTGTGATTATTCAGGCTTGAAAACAAGTGAAGGCTGAAGGGTGAATTAATAATGGAATTCCAATAAATAAAACTCTTACACGGTAGATGGTGATTGGCTATTTTCTAAATGGGTTCAGAACTGATGAAAACAATTTGTACTAAATAGGAAATTTAGTTATACGTAAAGAAAATTTCCCTCAGAACATTAATCAAATTTTCTCCACACCAAAGTCATTTACCTAATAGTTAATTTAATGTTCAGGAAGGTATAAATATACTATAAGGTCAGTAATTTACCACTTAATGCATTATTATTACAAGAAAGACTGCCAAGTAGAATAAGGAATAGAGTGGCAATGAGGGAAAAAGGGAGCTCCAGAATGAAGTAGTGCCCCTGCTTATGAAAAGGGTGAAGGGAGAAAGAGGGAAGACAGAGGAATGGGAGGATACAAAAGGGAGAAAGTAAGGAAAAGAGTGGAGCTGTTTTTTAAAACATGCCATTTTTCCTTTTTACTGTTGATACAGCGGATCCACTTAGATATTCGAGTTGGAGAACACGACCTTGATGCAGCCATTGCTCAGGCAAAGGACAAAGTTAATGAACTTACCTTCGAGCTTGAACATCTAATTGAACAAATTGAGCAAATAATCAAAGAACAAAACTATCAAAGGGTCAGTCTGCCTGTTCAGCTTATTTTATCTCTTGCTGCCAGCAATGCATTTCTCAATGCAAAGCCCCTGGACCAAAGAATGAACCGCCTGTTCCTCACTCTCTCTCTGAGGTAGAACTGTATGGACCCAGGGAATGGAGAGAGAAATCTTTCTTCACTCTGTCTGCTGGACCATGAGCTCCTCTAGGAAAGAGAATTTCAGTTCATTCATCTTTTTATGCCCTGTGCCTAACAAAGTGCCCAGCAGCACAGGGTGTGAGCTTGCAGAATGAATATATGCTTCCAAATGCATCCCATATATTTGTAGAGGCTAACGTATGCTTGCTTTCCAAATCACAATTTTATCCTTATGACATTAGGTGCTTTCTGGGTCACTTCGCTAAGTGGATGCTGGTCAGATATGGGCTTAAACCCGATCTACCTGTCAGTAATCTGTGTCATCTCTAAGCTTCAGTTTCCTTAACAGGAAGATAAGGACAGGGTGTGATAATCAGATAAGGTATGCAAGTGCTTGGCCTAATGCCTGGCATAAAGGCTGGACTCAAATGATTAAATCTGTCACTATTGGGTAATGAGTTCACTTTGCCTGATGGTAGCAAATAGAACATATAAATAGGTCAAATTCCTGATATTTTACACCAAACTACAAAAACATCTTTTATAAGATTGGTTTTTACTCTCTTATACTTGGCTGAGCAATAGATTTGGCTTAGAAAAGCAGACAGCACATCTACGTTGGTGTAAGATATGAACTGGGTAATATTAAATACCTTGAATTGCCCACAACAACGCTCCCCTCGAAATGATGAGTTAAGTACTTTATGACACTAAACCTGTCTATTTCTTTTCTGCATAGGACCGTGAAGAAAATTTTCGCATGATCAGCGAAGATACAAATAGCAATGTTTTATGGTGGGCTTTTGCACAAATACTAATCTTTATCTCAGTCGGAATTTTCCAAATGAAGTACCTGAAAGACTTCTTTATAGCTAAGAAGCTTGTTTAAAATATTATCAATAAGTACAAATAATTTGCATGTTTTGGTTAATAAATCAAAATACCTGCATAAATGTGTGTTACTGTAATGATTTCAAAGATACCAGAAATTGAAATTAATGTTACATCATTGCAACATGGATAGAATGTTACTTTTATAATGCAGCTTCTGAATTTGATAGATTAGGCACCGCACCCTATTCTTACTTATTTTTGAGACAGAGTCTTGCTCTGCTGCACAGGTGATGTCAAGCTCACCGCAGCCTCGACCTCCAGAGCCCAAGTGATCCTCCCACCTCAGCCTCCCAAGTAGCTGGAACCCCAGGAGCCCACTACCACACCTAGCCAATTTTTGTATTTTTTGTAGAGGTGGGGTTTTGCCATGTTGCTGGTCTTGCTATTTTAAACTTGGTATATAGGTCAGCACTGTAGTTTGCTTCTTTGCGTTTATTTTGAGATGGAGTAGCCCAGGCTGGAGTGCAGTGGTGTGATTTCAGCTCACTGAAACCTCTGCCTCCTGGGTTCAAGCAATTCTCCTGCCTCAGCCTCCTGAGTAGCTGGGATTACAGGTGCCTGCCACCATGCCGGCTAATTTTTGCATTTTTAGTAGAGAGGGGGTTTCACCACGTTGGCCAGGCTGATCTCCAACTCCTGATCTCAGGTGATTCGCTGGTCTCAGCCTTAGTGCTGGGATTACAGGCGTTAGTCACTATACCCAACCCATATGTAATTCTAAGTTTTCTAGACTCCACATTAAAAAGGATTTTTTGAAAGGGCAAAATCAATGCTAGTGATATATATTTAACCTAATATATCAAAAATATCATTTTAACATGTCATCAATATAAAATTACTAAGATGTTTTTCATATGAAGCCCTGGAAACAGCCGTATTTTACCCACGCCTTTCAGGGCACGGGGCCACTTGGCCCGCAGCTACCAGTAACGCCCCATGGTCTCCCCGCACAAGCACGTGCCCAAGCCTCTCGAGGATCCGAACTTCGTAGCCTTCCCGCGGGTGGAAACTCCCAGCACCACCCGCTAGGTGCTGGGCAATTTTGTAAAAAGTCACATCCCCATCCTGGAAGCTGGAAACAGAGGCCCTTTTCCCGCTACGTCCTCTGCTTCAAAGGGAAGCAGGCTCAGGGCCTCCCGTGGTCAGGTCCCTGCGCCAGCAGCCACCTGGACACCAGCCCCACAGCACTTGGTGCAGAGCGGCCCGACCCCCACCCCCACCCCCGCCCCCGCTCCCGCTCCCACCCCCACCCACCCTCCCTCCCATCCTCCCATTCCTCTCCCAGGGCCCCCACGCCCACTCTCCCCACTCCTCCCCGTCCCCACCCACAGTCCCCTGGCCGCCCCGGACTCCAGCCCCACTCCCAGCCCTCGTGGTAGGCCTGCCCGCGCCACCTGCCCTCGGCGTTCCCCTGCCCTGGTGCTCCCCCAACCCCTCTCCCACTGCGGTCGCGCCCGACGCCTCCTCAGCGCAGCCGCCATTCCCCGCGCCCACCACCCAGGCCGGGCCTCCACAGAACACCTGAGGACCCCAACGACAGGGGCGGCACGTCGGTGCTCGCGGTGCATTCCTCTGCCTACTCCGGCCGAAGCGACCTAGGAGAGGCGTCAGCCGCGCCTCCGGAGTGCTGCGACGCAACCCTCAGGGTTGGCGGGAAGGCGCGGGCTCCAGTGCGCAGGCGCAGAGAGGCCGTCGAGTTTGCGCAGGCGCAGAGCGGCCGTCGAGTTTGCGCAGGCGCGGAGCTGCCAGCCTCGGGCCCGCGCGTGGAACCCCGTCCCAGCCTCGCGTGGGCCTTGAGTGGACCTGGCCTCGCCGCAGCAGTCGCCTGCCTGGCATGGCCAACTGGGTGTTCTGTAATCGCTGCTTCCAGCCACCCCACAGGACTTCGTGCTTCAGCCTCACCAACTGCGGGCACGTGTACTGCGACGCCTGCCTCGGCAAAGGTCAGGGCGTCCCAAACGCAGGCTGGAGGCGGGAGGGCCGTGGGGGCGCGTGGGAGTCTGCAGGGAAGAGCGCGCGTGGAATGGGGGGTGAGGGACCACGGGAACAGCGGGATTCGGAGAAAGGGCCAGAGGGTCCGTGGTCCTGATGAGGGGCCGCTGCGGAGAGCGGGACAGTGGGGAAGAGGCGAGGAGGGAGGGGGAGAGTGAGGGGCTGGGGTGTGGGGGGAAGAAGGGAGGCCGAAGGTGGTGGGGGTGCAGGCAGGAGGGGGTCGCCAGGGGAGTGGCCACGGGGGATGTGAGGGGATATGAGGGGGAAGGGGAACTCCAGGGTGACGGGGAGAAGGGGATGCTGGGGGAGAGGGGCGTGGGGGAGGGGACGTGGGCAGGAGGGGGCCGCAGCGGGGAGGGGCAGCCAGGAGGAGGGGGTCGGGCCACGGTCCCATTAGCCGGGGGCTCTGGCTTGAGGGCCGTGGGTCCCACGTGGAGGACCTAGGGGAGAAGCGGGCGGGTGGCAGCCATGCGCTCGTGAAGGACCCTGTCCCTGTTCCATGGTGTTACACCCGAGCGAGTTTAAACGGAAGCGCCACGCTCTGAGTTTGTTGAGAGCCCACTTTTAATACCGGTGTCCGAGAGTCAGCTGGAGCTCAAACCTCTCGGCCACAAACCAAGGGCGGTCAACATTTTTATATCAGTTTAGGGTCAGGGGGCGGTAAGCAGATTATTACAGAGCAGAAGGAGCACGTTAGGGGAAGGGGGGATGCCTAACAAAAAAAGTTCTACTAAGTTGTTTTTTTACTCAGGACGTGGGGGTAAGCAGTTGCACGGTTTTGCAGTTATAGGCCAGTGGGACCTGTTTCTCAGAAAACTGGTTACAGAGATGCCAGGTGTCTCATACCACAGGCTGTCAGAACAGAATGCCCTGCATAGCTCAGGGTGGGCAAAATGGAGTTAGCAGGATTGTTTGAAATGTATTCATTACAGCCAAGCTAGGGTATTTCAATGGGGAGCTCTGGGCCCTGGTGTCAAGCTGGCAGTCCATTGTCAGGAAGGTGTTTATTTTTCTTTCTATGAAAATCTTGTGTTGAAGTAATGTTTATGCAAGAACAGAAGCAAAAGCTCATGGAGCTTTTACCAAGTGAACTTCCCTGTGAAAGCACCCAGCTGGCTGCCGGTGGCTCACAGCCCTCCAGCCCCGGGGGACCCCCGCTGTGCTGACCTCCATCCTCAGAGATGGCCTTATACCCACAGGATATTGGTGTGTAGGGCCTAAGACCAGCCCTACAGCAGAGCCGCTTTCTGTGGCTCCCCGCTCTTTCTTCCTTTCCCTCCCTTTCTTACCTTTCTCTTTCAAGGCAGAGCTCTGCTCTGTCGCCCAGGCTGGAGTTTGGTGGTGGGATCTCCGCTCACTGCAGCCTCCACCTTCCAGGCTCAAGTGATCCTGCTGCCTCAGCCTTCAGGGTAGCAGGGGCTACAGGTATGTGCAGCCAGGCACCCAGATTTTTAAACTTTTCACGGAGAGGGGTCTCCCTTTGTTGCCAAGGATGGCCTCAAATTCCTGTCTTCTAATGATTACCTGCCTTGGCCTCCTGAAGTGTGGGATCAGCAATATTCGTCTTTGTATGTAACGGTAGTCCATCTACTTTCATTGTTATGTGGCATTCCATTGTATGGATACACCCAGGTTACTCATCCTTTCCACCGTCCATGGTCATTCGGGTTGTTTGCAGATTTGGCTGTAGAAATAGCGGTACTGTGAACCTTCTTGCTCCTGTCTTTGGTGATCTTAGGTACACATTTCTGTTGGGTGTGTAATTAGGAGTGGAGTTGCTAATTTCAGGTGTGTATTTTAAAACAAGTCTCTCTGGCAGCCGGTGAAAAGTAGATTGGTGGGAGATAGAAACTGTGGGAGGGACTGTGCAGATGAGCACAGGAGAGGTGATGGAGAGCAGTGATGGGTTCAGAAGTTAGGTAGATTCAGCAGACTTTTAGACAAGGGCTGGAGAACTGAACAGGGTTTTTGCTGCTAGACAGAACACTGGAGAGGAGCCCAGTGAGAGGGAACCCAGCACGATGGGGCGCAGCAGGATGGGGTACAGGGCCCCTGAGCTCACGTTTGGACATGGCATGTGTCCTGTGAGAGTCATCCAGGGGGAGACAAGAGGCAGCTGCACATGTGGGTCTGGAACTCAAGACAGCCAGGAATGCATCTGGGGAGCCATTAACGTGGTATAATAATCCCAGATACTGGAGTGTAGAGAGCCCCAAAGGCGAAGGAAACTAGAAGATGCTGTCTTCTTGGAAAGAGCATTTGTTGAGGGAGGTACGGAATATAGAAGGATGTCAGGTAAAAAAGAAAGATGTTGATGAACTGGGCATCCCAGTGAAGTCAAAGCATTGGTTTGAAAGTATCCATTGCCAGTGAGGAGGGCACTGGTGACCCAAGATAATGTTCCCTGAAGATAATGTTGTTGGGAATGATGGAGACGTGTGTGCCTTCGCGGTGTTGGGAAGTGTGAAGACAGGGCTCAGAGTGTCATGGCTTTTGAGGTCAGCATACCCAGGTCACCATACCATACGTTGGCAGGTGACTGGTTAAGGGCCTGGGGCAGGTGTAGATTCACAGGTTTGTCTAGCTCTTAAAGCCTGAGGTCAATGCAGATTCTAGTGGCCCAAGTGCATTCCTCCAAAAAGCCACGGATGCTGCATGTTGGGACCACACCAAATCCGAGGACACACAAAAAATGGTGAAAAGGGCTGGAGGCTCTGGGCAGAGCCCTGACTAGCTCCGTAGCTGTCTAGTGGTGTGTCACTTAGAGGGAAGCCCTTGTTAAACTCTGGTGTATATCCTTCCAAGCATTTCCTATAGATGGCCAATTTTTAAAACGGAAACAGTACAGTGTGTCTACCATTCAGTAATCTGCTTTTATTACTTAGACAGGGACCTCTTTCCATGTTAAAATAAGTCTGTATCATCATTCCTGCGGTTGTATGATACATCTTTTGGTTTTCATACCATAATTTATTTGATTCCCTACTAAAAGACATATTTTCTGTTCTTTGGCTATGAGATACCACGTGTTCTCTTACTCGATTTTTTCTTTGGAATATATTCTTATAGAGGTGGAGTGGCTAGGCTGGGGTTGTGCACATTAAAACTCACCCAAATGTTCTCACAAAGGATGTGCCTGTTTCTGTTCACTGCAGTGACACTTGAGCACCTGTTCTCTCCTCTTTGGTGTCTCTCAGTAGTGACCTTGACCTTCATTTTATGTGTTTATTGGCTGTTTGCGCTTTTTCCTATGTCTATTCAGGTCCCCTCACAGCCTTTTATTGGGGTGTTTCTTTTTAGTTGACTTGTATGCACTATTTATAGGTCAGGTATCAATCCCTTTGTCTATCGCTGCACATGATTTCCTCTCTGTCCTGTCTGTGAATCCTCCTCCCATGTAAGAACTTTTAGATTTTTATGAGTCAGCTCTGTTAATCTTTTACTGCATGATTTCTGGCTGTGATGGTGCTTAAGAGAAATTTTCTTGCTCCAGAATTTCTAGTCAGAGAGCTAGAAGGGAGGGGACATACTGTCAAGGGTAGAGGTTTTTAGGATGAGGGCAACTTGATGAAGAGAGGAGGCTGGGTACGGTGGCTCATGCCCATAATCCCAGCACTTTGGGTGGCTGAGGCAGATCACGAGGTCAGGAGATCGAGACCCTGCAGGCCAACGTGGTGAAACCCCATCTCTACTAAAATACAAAAAATTAACTTGGGTGTGGTGGTGCATGCCTGTAGTCCCAGCTACTCGGGACCCTGAGGCAGGAGAATTGCTTGAACCCTGGAGGCAGAGGTTGCAGTGAGCCGAGATTGCTCCATTGCACTGCAGCCTGGCGACAGAGCAAGACTCCATCTCCAAAAAAAAAAAAAAAAAAAAAAAAAAACTGGAGACAATTCTGGAGGCTGTTAGAAGGGGACCCCCCATTCCACAGTAGGATACCATTCTGTGTGCTGGGCGCTGCAGACACTGAGGTGAGTGTGGATACACAAGAGAAGCCTGGGCTTGGGCTGGAAGAGATGCTCCCTCCAAGGCAGAAAGGAAGGTGGTAGAGTGAAGTGGGTTGTTCTCGGGTGGGTCAGTCTAGAGGAGAGGGCAGAGAAATTGAGGTAGTTCATGGGCCAGGGCATCTTTCTCCTCAGTAGGTGGTATGTGGGGCCTGGTTTGAACAGCCCCATGGGAAATGCAAAGCAGGACTGCCCAGCAGCGTTGCTGACTCAGCAGCATTGGAATCCGCAAGTCTGTGAATCCACCTCTCACTTAAGGGATGTTTGTTTCTAGTTCTTAAGCGCCACTGGGCTTGTTCAGGTTTGGGCCTGGTGTCCACCCTAGAAACACAGGAGCGTGAAGGCTCATAGCGCCTGATCAGTCCTGGGCTTCAAGCTGACTAGTGAGAATTTCAAGCTTGAGATTCGTTTTGAATAGTTAAAAATTTTAGATTTATGATATCACTATAAAGCCTAATTATGGGCTGGGCATGGTGGCTCATGCCTGTTAACCCCAGCACTTTGGGAGAACGAGGCAGGGGGATCACTTGTCAGGAGTTCAAGACCAGCCTGGCCAACATGGCAAAACCCCATCTCTACTAAAATTACAGAAATTAGCCGGGCATGGTGGCAGGTGCCTGTAATCCCACCTACTTGGGAGGCTGAGGCATGAGAATCACTTGAACCTAGGAGGTGGAGCTTGCAGTAAGCCGAGATTGTGCCATTGCACTCCAGCCTGGGTGACAGAGTGAGACTCTGTCTCAAAAACATAAGAAACTAATTATGGTCAGGCACAGTGGCTTACGCCAGCACTTTGGGAGGCTGAGGTGGGAGCATTGCTTGAGCCCAGGAGTTCAAGCTCAGCCTGGGAAACATAGTGAGTCCCCATCTCTACAAAAAAATTAAAAATGAGCTGGGTATGGTGGCACATGTCTGTGGTCCCATCTACTCAGGGAGGCTGAGATGGGAAGATGGTTGAGCCAGGGCAGGGGGCAGTCAAGGCTGCTGTGAGCTGTGATCATGCCACTTGCATATCAGCCCAGGCAACAGAGCAAGACCTTGTCTCAAAAAAATTTTTATTTTAATTTTTAGAAAGCCTAATTGTAATAAATACCTGGGATAGACTTAGCCTTAAGTGTTGTTAATCTTTATGGTCACTATTTTTGTGCATATCTGCAAAGCAGGGGAAAAGGATGTTAGTTCCATAAATCCTTGCAACTGTACTCATACCCATAGCTTCATCCTGTCAGAACATGAACACCTGTGGTGTAACCCTATTTCTTGAATAAACATTGTGAAGTCTGTATGCATACATATTTAAAAGCAGTAGTCAGTGTGATAAAATAAAACCTATTTTTATTCTATAGGTGAAAAGAACGAATGCTTGATTTGTAAAGTTCCTTGTCGTACAGTTTTACTTTCAGAACATGTAAGTTGAAATATGTAGCATCTGCATCTTAATCACAATCATATTTCCTTTCAAACTTGATATTTAATTTTTAGTCATTTGTGGTGTCTAAAATTTTCTGTCACTTTGCTATGTTAACAAAGATAGCTGAGTAATCAAAATGCAGTTAGGGTTTAGTTTTTTAAACTTCGGTACCACTTTGTTTCTTAGCTATAGATTGACCTTACTCCTAGGTTGTTGGATCATGCTGTGTTCCTGGAAATGAAAGTGGACTAAATAGATTTCTTCAGCACAATAGAAGCTCCTTGAGAGGGTGATAGAGTTTGGATTTGTATAGGGGTCACATATAATTAAGAGTGTTGTTCGGGCTGGGCAGGTGGCTTACGCCTGTATTCCCAGCACTTTGGGAGGCCAAGGCGGGTGGATCACGAGGTCAAGAGATCTAGACCATCCTGGCAACATGGTGAAACCCTGTCTGTACTAACAATACAAAAATTAGTTGGGCATGGTGGTGCACGCCTGTAGTCCCAGCTACTCGGGAGGCTGAGGCAGGAGAATTGCCTGAACCCAGGAGGCGGAGGTTGCGGTGAGCCGAGATCGCGCCATTGCACTCCAGCCTGGGTAACAAGAGCGAAACTCCGTCCCAAAAAAAAAAAAAAAAGAAAAAAATAAGTGTTGTTCATAAAGTAGGTTTAAAATCAATTACTGCTGAAGGCTTAAAACAATGCCTTTTTTCTCGCCATAAAAGATTCAGCTTAACTTGTTACTGGCATAAACAAAGGATTGGTCTCTTCTATGCCAGATCTCCAAAATGTGCATTTGGTCTGATGATTTCAAATATAATCATTGGTTTTTAATCTGATGACAAATATAATACAAAGTTACACAACATTCAAACAATACAGAAAAGTATAATGGCAGATGTGAAAGTCCCCAGATGCTGTTTCCCAGAGATGACAGTGACCAGGAGTTTGGCACCTGTTCTATGTGTGTTACTGTGATTTACCTTTTCATAAAAATGGTGTCTTCTCAGTTGACATTATATTTTGGGCACACTCACTCTTACAACGACCGCGTTATATTTTACTATTTTCCTATTGGAGAGCCTTTGGATTTTTTGTTTTTCGCTGTTTCAATCAACCTTCCAGTGAACATTTTTAACCAATATCTCTTCACACTTGTAAGAATATTTCTGTGGCATAAATTCCTGAAGTGATGAAAAAGCAAAGGCAAAAGATTTAAATGTCTACACTTTAAACAGAAAATGCTTTCTTTTCCTGAAAACGTGTGGCAGCTCAGAGGCTCAGTGACTGCCTGTTTCTGCTACTGGCACTAAGCCCTGTCACACAGTTGGGCTGAAGGCTGGTGGGAGGAGCCCTTAGCTTTTCTCTAGCTTGGGTCGAATGTTCAGGTCATTTACTCACTTTCTTGTTTCCTAGTAAATATATTTAAGACCATCCATTTCCTTCTGCGCACCGCTATTCTGTATCGCTTTGAGTACTGCCTTTCTATATCATTTCTAAATAATCTCTAATCTTTTTATTTTTTTAACTCAAGAATTATTCGAAAGAATATGCTTTAATTTCTAGTTAGATTTTAGGTCCCCTGTCATTTTCATCGTAATTTTTAGTCTTATGGCATTCTGATGAGAGAATATGGCTATGTGGGTTACTTTAATTATCAGTGTTTTCATTGTGGTTTAATACGTGGTAATTGTTCATATTTAATGTGTGTTTAAAAAAAGCATGTGTTCTTTTTTTCTCTGTGTCTGAGTGTGTGTCTGCATGTGTGTGTATGTGTGAGTAAGTAAAGTTGTTTAAAATGTGGAAGTTGTTACTGCTTCTCTTTCTCTAAACCATCACAGATTGTGTGGGCTCTTTCTTCAGAAGTCTTTCCTCAAAGCAGGTCTTCCTTTCCCTGTTGCTCTACCCGCCATGGGAGATGCTGTTTCCCCTCCTCTCACTCTGGCTTCCTAGAGCCTCTTCTCTACCCTGCAGCCAGAGGGATCTGCTCAAATGCCAAAGTCCCCCATGCCTGCAGGGCCTGTGGCCAGGTAGCACCTCTGGCCTGCAGCCTTTCCGGGAGCCAGGGTCTTCCACTTCAGGGCCTGGCTTTCCTGCTCCCTCTGACTGGAATGTCCTCTCAGATGGCCACAGGCTCCATCCCGCACAGCCTGAAGGCCTGTGGAATGTCGGGAGACATCACCAACTGCTCTGTGTCTTGGTGGCTTCTTTGACTCTGACCTGCCGTAGAAAGGACACTTAATATCATGGCAATGTGTGCATTTGCACGTGGAGGCATCCGTGTGTGAGCACATCCATGAAAGCCGTTTCACAAAGTAGTTCTTATCCTAAGTACAGTACCCTCTGATGGTTTCTATTCTCATGTTGTTTTTTCTTTAAAATAAAGCATGTTTTTTTTTCTTTAAAATAAAACATGTTGTAAGCTGACTTCCCCAGACCCGTGTTGTGACAGACACCACCATGTAAAACTGACCCTCCAACACTGTGTCCTTGGACCTGCATTATTCTGCTTCACAGCATGTGTCACCACCTAAGATATATTTATATATTGATTTGTTTGTCATTAAAACCCTCCATTACTCCACTGAACGCATGAAATGGGGGCACCACCACGTTGGCCAGGTGGTGGTTGACCAGGGAGCAGGGCAGACTGAAGCTGGTGCCTGTGAGATGCAGGAGGTGGCCGGGTGCCAGGAAGGAGGACTCTGGTAAGCACGGAGCAGAGCAGGGGTGTGCTCCCCCGCGTCCGCCTCCTCTAGGAGGGAGAGTGTAGGCTAGACCAGGCCGGTTTTTACACAGGTGTGGAAAGGAGTAGCTACAGGAAGGAGATGAAGGACGAGGATGCCCCACATTCATGGACATGCCAGTTACTTTTGAACTCCAAGTGGTAAGAAATGCGTCTCTAGGGGTGAGGGCCCCAAAGGTTGAGGCAGCACTTCTGCCTCACTTCACTTGGGGAACCCCAGGAAGCAGAACCAGGGCCTGGAGACAGCAGACAAAAGAGCTCCCCCAGGAGGCAGAGCTGCAGTCCAGCAGGGCCTCTCCCCATGGGAGGAGCCCCACAGCATCTGTCCTTTCTTCCTTCTTTCTTGGTGTGACTGGGAGTGCTTCTTAGTTGTCCTGCCCCATGCCCCCATCAAACGTCAGCTTATGGCGAGGATGCAGACACATTCCTTGTCTTTCTAGCTCACAGATTGCAGGCCAGACCAAGATCCAAGGGAAGGGACCGCCTGCTGCCCAAGAACCTGAGCTATGGCATGGACAGTGACAGTGGTGTTGGGGGCATTCCGCTCTTGGGGAGTGGCTTCCTGTTAGGGGAGGAGTGATGTGGATACCAGTGACCAGAAGGGCAGACCGGGCCAGGCTGGGTGGTCATCCACACACCTGCTCCCTTTCTTCCTGGACACCTGGCTGTACTCATTCTCCCCACCTGCCTTCCCATGCTGGAATGCAGGCAAGAGCAATGAAGGCCACTTCCAGGCCTGGCCCATTAAAACAGCCCCCTGAACAGCCCTCCGCCTCCCTTCCTTCACAGATGGCCAGGAGAACAGAGCAGAGCTGCTCGGGGCGGGTGACCTGGGCCCAGGGCCTGTGTGGAAGGCCGCCCACCTGGTCTTGAACTGTTGTATGGGCAAGAAACAAGTGTCCCCACAATAAGCCACTGAGATTTGGGGTTGTCTGAAATAGCAATTGGCCTACATTTATCTTCTCATGTCTACATACATTTTGGAGGCAACTCATCAATTTCCACACACAAAGAATCCTCTTGGGATTTTTATTTTGCACTTACTGTTCTTTAGAGAGGCTTTGGACATCAGTGTTAGGTTTTTTTTTTTTTGAGTCGGAGTCTCTCACTCTTTGCCTGGGCTGGAGTGCAGTGGCGTGATCTCAGCTCACCGCAACCTCCACTTCCTGGGTTCACATGGTTCTCCTGCCTCAGCCTCCGAAGTAGCTGGGATTATAGGCGCACACCACCACACCCAGCGAATTTTTTGTATTTTTAGCAGAGACAGGGTTTCACTATGTTGGCCAGACTGGTCTTGAACTCCGGACTTCATGATCTGCCCATCTCGGCCTCCCAAGGTGCTGGGATTACAGGCATGAGCCACCGTGCCCAACTTACTATTGTAGTTTTGAAAAAAATTATCTCAAATGCTTATTGCTAGTATATAAAAATGCAATTCATTTTCTTAACTTTTACTAGTGACCTTGCAAAATTTTACTTGATAACTGTTGGTTTATATGTAGATTCTGCTAGAATATTTACATATGGACACACATTATCTTTGAATAAGGACTGCGTTAGATCTCTCTTTCTAATCCTTCCTTCCTTTTTCTCCAGTTCAGTGCTGAGTAGAAATGGTTGGCATTAGCCGGCACCTTGTCGTTTTCCTGATTTCAGGGTCAAGCTTTCAGCATTTTATCAAGTATTATGTGTGCATCAAGTATTTTTGCTAAGGATTTTTTTAAATCATCATGAATGGTATTGAATTTTGTTAATTTTTCTATAATTATTGGACTATAACTATTTTATTAGCTTTTTCTACAACTGGCGAGAGTATCATTTAATTTTTCTGCTTTATTTTGTTAATGTGGTGGCTTGTATTTATTTTTAGAATTTGAAACCCACATTAGATTCTAGGAACAAATTCAACTTTGTAGTGATATAAGATCACTTGTATATGTAAGTAAAATCAATTTGCTACTATTTTGTGTGGGTTTTTGTACCTTTGTTCATATGAGAGCTGGACCTGTACATTTTTTTTCTTGTAATGCATTTTTCACGTTTTGGTAAATCCGCTCTATTCTGGTTTCATAAAAAAAGTTATAAATTATTTTTATTTCTCTTTTCTCTGGAAAATTTTTTGTAAGATTGGGGTTATTTGTTTAAATGTTTGGTAGAATTCAGGAGTGACACTATTTAGGCCTGGTAAGTTTTTTGTGGAAAGATTTTAAACTAGGGATTTAATACCTTTATTAGACATGCAAGTATTTAAA